AATCAAGTAACTATAATGCTGAAATATGACATTTTTTATTTGCTGTATGTCTTGTTCAGAATACTGTATATAAGAGAAAATTCATTTCTAAGATCTCTAGGGCTTGCTGAGGAATGACTTTTATCAGTATTCTTCAAAATACATTTCATATAAGGGTATGTTGATATAAAAATTTTAAAGAAAACTCTTTGAAAATGAAAAAGAGCATAAATAGCTTGGATGGTTTAAAAAATGCACTTATCCTCTCTGAGGAAAAAAAAGTCATGTATCCTGATGTATACCGGACCCTAGTTTGTCTTTTCAGATTCCACTGGGTAGCAGTCATTTCTTTTGATAGGATTTACCACCATCTCCAACTAGGGGTACGTCCTAATTAATCCACATCTATAAAGGTAATCCTATGCATCTTGTTTGTTTAAGATAAACTAGGTCTATACCCATCAATTAATAACAATTCTCTGGCCACAGAGATTTCATGAATGTTGTTCAGTGGTACCCACACTATCCTGCTGAGTAGTCTAAGTTTGCTTCAGGCAGTCTCCTATCTGTGGCCACAAAAAAAAAACAATCTAAGAATGAAGTCAGTAACACTGCAAATGGCAGAGCAAAGAGAGAAGAAAAATCTAGTTCTTGATGAAAGAGATGTACCACTCAACCAGCCCACCCTGAAGTTGGGTCTACCTCTGGGTTTTCCAATCAAATGAATCAAGTTATCCCCTGGTGTTTAAGCCAGACTGAGTCATATTTTCTGTAAATTCTGCTCAAAAGTATCCCAACTGCTATGCAGTATGTGTTGCTCAATTTTTCACAGAGCCTATAGTCAGAGAATAATAAACCAAATCTTAAAGACTGCTGAATATTCAAACATATTTTTATTTGTCTAAATATGAAGAAGTAAAGAGGAGTCATATGAAGAAGGTAAGATGATTTTTAGGAATTGTAACTAATGGGGACTCCTGGGCCCGACGTTTGCTACTGTGTCATTATCACAAGCCAACCTTATCACTGCTGAGAATGGTAAGAACACTGTACCTCATTATTGGGATCACTATGAGTTTCCAAATTTGAGTTTTGAACCTCAATCATAGAAGAGATTGCAACCTTAGTGTTTTAGAATTTGAAAAGAACTAAGCAAAATGTGTATGAGAAAAAAATATAAGTATATTCATACATTATTTGAGATTATTTTATTAAATGATAATCTAAGCTTTTACTGGAAAGCTAAAAAGTGAACCGAGAAGAGAACAGGTACTATGGTAAAGAAAAACAGTATGAGCTGGACGTGGTGGCTCACGCATGTAATCCTAGCACTTTGGGAACCTGAAGTGGGAGGATCGCTTGAGGTCAGGAGTTCGAGACCAGCCTGACCAACATGGAGACAACCCGTCTCTAATAAAAATACAAAAATTAGCTGAACGTGGTGGTGCATGCCTGTAATCCCAGCTACTCAGGAGGCTGAGGCATGAGAATGGCTTGAAACTGGGAGGTGGAGGTTGCAATGAGCTGAGATCGTATCACTGCACTCCAGCGTGGGCAACAAAACGAGATTCTGTCTCAAAAAACAAAAAAAAAACAAAACAAATAAAACAGGAACAGCCTGGAGTATGAATCTTGAGACATGGTTAAATTACTCTCTGTCTTTTAGCGGTGTGATCTTGTGCTGTTTACTTAAACTTTCTGAGGCACACTCCCTTCAGCAGTAAAACAAAAGAATAATAAAATTTTCAAAAGCTATTAAGAGGATGATATTAGATAACATAAAAAAGCTTAATAAAATCTTTATTATTCACATATGATTCCCACGAAATGAATAGCATTTAACCTAGTTGGAAAGATAAAATGTGCTTGGTAAAACACTGATTCATTTCCTTGTTTGAGGCTGCCAACTTTCTATTGTCTGAAGAATAAAGTCCAAATATTTTAGAATAGAATTTATAGTCTCCTGCAGCTTACAACCTGGCTTCAATATATGTTTCCAGCTTCATCTCCTACTACTCATCTTTACAAGTTCTGCTTGCCAGTAACCCTGCCGTCCAGCATTCCTAGACACCTCTTTTTCAGCACCCCTTATGTTAGCCACTTACATATCTTGGCTCTTATCATTCCTCCGTGAAGAATACTCTTTATCTGCCTACTTAACATCTACCCATGTCTTTTAATACAGTATTACTATCTACAATGTTTTAATGGACTACTAGGTCCTAAAGCTCAGTTCAAACACCACCTCTTTCCTGGGGATTCATAAACCACCACTAGTTGTCATCCTTCATTCTCTAAACTTCTACAGCCCTTGATTTGTAACTTGCTTGCTCTTAAAAGCAAAACCAAACGAAATGAAAACCTATTATACAACAGTCACATGTAAAAAAAAAGTCTAATTTCTCTTACTGAACTGTAAAGGCTTTATGAGCAGAATTATGCCTGATATGGTTTTATTTCCTTAAGATGCTAAAGTGAGATAATTCACAAATATTTTAGTAAATATCAGTTCAGTAAATAAACAAAAATAACAGAAGGAGAAAATAACTTTTATGGTGTAGGGGAATTAGTGTTATAAGCTATTTGTGTAAATGAGAGAAGAATTCAGAGCACACAATGATCATTCCAGCATGAATTGCCAACGAGTACAAGTGTGGTTGAGGTGTAGATTGAAGGAAGGTTACTATTTGGATGCATTAAAAGGAAGCAGAAAGGCGTTCCAGGTAGAAAAAACAAATAAGCAGTAGCCTAGAATTAAAAAAAAAATGTATTTTATTTGTGGTAAAGGTAGACATGTAATCCATCTAATAATCACATGGGCTGTGCCAGACATCAATAGAAAATAAAAATTGTTGTAAAGTCAAACAGGCATATTGCTGATATATGAGGGAGACATTATGCTCTTGAGAAGTCACTTGTAGCATAATATACATTATAAAGAACAAATGTTAATTATCTGTGACTTATCAATATCAAAGAAATAAATTGTAGGATATTAAAGGTGAATCCAAGAATTGGAGCCGGAAAGACTGGGGAACTGATTTTATCCCTGATAGCAATGAAGACGAGCCACAGAGGCCCAGTTAAGTGGATGAAATAGCAAACTCTATTTTGGTCTTGAATTAAAGAGAAGGGCGCTTTGGGGACAGGTGATACTGTGAAAGCAAGTGTTTTTCTGAGAGAGTACTCTCTATTATCACCACTTAGGTGCAAAGATTCTGATCTCTATGCAAAAGAACACTCAACAACTGGATGCTCTTTTAATTCAGTGGAGATCCTTCCATTCTCCAAAAAAAAGAAAAGAACATCAATTTTTATTGATCTAGAACTTGCTCTAGAACCTGACATGAATATAGACTCCGAAATTCCACACAGACCCTTCAGTCAGTGCATGATAAAATATGCTGACTACAGCTCGCAAATCCCCACAAAAAGCAAAATACAGCCTACTGTTCTAGCTTATTATTCTATTATTGACATATTCATAACATACGGGAGTTAACTTTTAGGATGTGAATATTTCTGTAAGAGGGAATTATCATTTAAACTGTTGCCAAAGTGAATGATTGGCTGTGAGAGGTAGTACAGGAGAAGAGCAGGTTTCTCTGGGTGAAAAGAGAGGACAGTTGCCATAAAGGTGGGCGGACCTTATGCATTCTCCCAGGCTGAATCAACAGGCCCACACTGCACAGGCCCAAAGGGCACCGTTTCCACTGTATTTATATGAAATGTCATTTCTTGAAACACAATTCCAGAAAGCCATGTGAATGGTGTTCCCAGAACTGTGCAACATGTTGGCTATTTTCTAGACCAGAGCTCAGTTCAAAGACAACAATGCACTTTCTAGAAGGAGTTTCATCTCTTTATTTGTATTCTTATTTTAAGTCTACGTGTTTCAAGACTAGTCTAGAGCCCCACCCTCCATAATCAATGCCTGGACTTCTGGGAGTTGAAACACAGCTGGATCTTCTAATCCACTGTTTCTCAAATGAGGTAAGGATGGAGTAGAAAGTATCCATGGAAATTTAAAATTTAAAATTTAAATTTTATATGTATACACATAAACATCCATCTACCTGTATGTATTATATCTATAAACAAGTGTGCATGTGTGCGTATGTATGTTTATCTATTATTTAGAAGTAGACGTATTCCAAGGCATCTGGATAATGACTTTATTGACTTTACGGAAACTAATTATTGCCACAAAATTTTGAAACGAATGTTTCTGGTTTTTATTATGATATGTTTCACTTCAATAAAGGTAAGATGAAATCACTGTGTGTTGAAGAAACCATTGTTTGTAGTAGTTCCAATTGAGAAAATGGAGTAATCACCAGACTTTTGAAAGTTTAGGTATTAATGCTTCAGCAGTAAGAAGACATTTTACTTAGCAGGCATATGTCTTTCAAAAATCCCAGCTCTAAGAATACCATTGTTAGAATAATTCATTGATGGTAAGACTAAATAGCAAATATTCAACGAGAAATTTCTTGGTTCCTAATTCCAATAATTAGTTCATAAAACATTTAAATGTAGTTTTCAGTAATGCTGTCTTATTAACTGTCTTCCAAAATTTTTTCTAGTGATATCATTACATTTGCATTTTAGGATTTCTAGCAGGCAAAGATTTAGTTAGGTATGAAGTCTAATTTCCCTTAAGTAACAAAACCAAGAAATTAGTAATATAATTTTATTCAACATACTTACGTGAACAGATTCTCTGGGTGAGTATTGAGCATAGAAACAGTAAATATAAAACTGCATCTGAACTGAGGTAATTTTATGTCATTAAAACGTCACCTATAACATTAAATTAATATTGCTAATTTAGATTGAATTGTTTCTATATAGACTTGAAATTTAATTTGTAAATTATCTAGTTTCATCATTTTGTAAGCACTCTAAACAACAGAAGTTTATGCTGTATATGTGCATATATAATACATAGTAAAAATAATCTAAATTGACAGTGGATAGCCATTAGTATGGCTTTTTATTATAAGAGGTGAGTCATTTACCTGAATTTGAGGAGCACTGCTCCAGAAGATCTAGGTCCAAAGAATATAGCACCAAACCAACATATCCAGGACACAAAGCTTTCAAGTCCTTTAATGCAGTGATCCATCCATTCATATGTATTGAATGCCTCCTGTGTGTTAGACACTGGAGTTATATATTAGTGAGCAAGATAGATGTTTCTTATCCTCAAAGGAGCTTACACTCAAATGAGTGAGACAGATAATTAACATGAAAGCAAATAGTTGTTTTTTTTTTAAATTCAAATTGCATTCAGTGTATGAATGGTCCTGTGGCAAACAGAGTAACTGGGAGGACCAGTTGGTATTAAATGATCCGTGGGAGCCTCTTGGAGGGCATATTGCTTCAGATGAGGCCTAGATGAAAGAATGAGCCATGTTAACAGAGAGTGAACATGATAGCAAGGGGAAATGTTGTAGAAGAGGGAACAAAAAATTAAAAGCCTCTAGTGTCGGAAAAGTTTGGCATAGCCTAGGAAGTGAAAGAATACTGTGGCTCGAAAATAGTTAGCAGGGGGAAGAACAGCATGAGACAAGGTCACAGAGGTAAGCAAGGCACACTGTTCAGGGCCTTGAAGGTCATGTTAAAGTGTTCTTCCTTCATTCTGAGTGGAATGGGAAGACACTGAGGAGCATAAGCGGTAGACAAACATGATCTAATTTGTATTTTGAGAACATCAGGCTACAGTGGGTAAGATGGCTACATGTGTCATCAATAAACACTGAACACTCATAGATGGACAAGGACACAGCTTCTTTTACTCAGAGCCAAAACTGCCTTAAAAGGAACTAGAGCCAAGACTGTGTTTACTAGTGTGTTTTATATGTTTTGAGTTGCCAAAATTATTAAAATCATGAGATTTCACTTAAAATATCTGGATTTCCTCCTGCATCTTTGGATTTGTTTGGTTTTTATTATTATTATTATTATTATTATTATTATTATTTTCTGGAAGATCCAGTAACATTGAGCCTGCAGTCTTGCCTAGAACCAACTGGCTGGAGCTGAGTAGCAGCTGGTTAATTTGCCCATTTGGAAAGTGCTGTGATTTCATATTTGCCACATTTCTTCCAAATCCCCTACTGCGTAAGAACTAGCCTGCCTCATTCACTTTTCTTACTTGTTGGCTACAGCTAGATGCATTTATTATTTTTTACTTCCTCATAGGAACCGTAGTAACTAATAACAATCACAGTCCTTGGGAGCTGTTCCTAGTGCTGCTTCAAAACCTTGGTAAAGACCATGCCAACTTGATCTTTTTTTTTCTAAACCTGATCTTTGTTCACTTATTAGTCCCAGATGGTTTTGTCCATTGTTTCTCGAACAAGACCACACCTAGGCATGAAACATCAACTTGTTCTGTCTCACTGCTCATCCAAGCTTAGTGCTTAGCTTCAGTTCTGTGAGTCATTACCCCAGGTCTCAATCTCACCTGTTTGATCATGCTTGTTTCTGAAGACATTCACACAGGGCCTCTGCACTGTTTACATCTACTATTCATGTCAGGGCTGGACCCTTTGAGGGGCAGGGTACTGTATACAAAATTAAGTGTTTTAGTTGGCAAAACAGATGCTGCCTAGAGTGCTTTATTTATAATTTAATTATTTAATTGTAAATGTAAATGTAAAGAATGTGCAATCCTAATTGTATTTCATGTGTAACCTCTTGGGTTGAGATTAACTGAAGCCTATTTCTAGTTTTATCCCTTTACTCTCATCTGCCTGGAGAGTATGCAATTTAGCCAAATCATAAAAAATAAATGCTTCTAAAAGAATGTAAGGGCATTAGGTAGGGAATTTTAACTTGTCCTTTACTGTAACTCCAGTACCTAGAGTAGTGGGACATGGGAAGCTTCTCAGTACATATTTTGTTGAGTAGTGAGTGAATGCCAGGCTATCAGACATGCAGCACAAGATATGCTCTGGACACATGAGACGGCTAAATGGAAAACCATGCTCGTGCTTGCTGATGAGATCTCTAAAATATAATAGAAGCATCGTCTATATCACTTTCTTCTCCAAACAACACCAATTACTTAACTATGAGCTATGGCTTCCAGCTTATATGCTATTTTCCTAAGCTATTTATATTACGAATCTATAATAGCTCTCAGAATAATAAAATTCTTCATTGATTACCTCTTGATAAAAGTAACTTCTGTTGGTTCAATATATAATCTTGAAACATACCAATAGATATAATAATTATGAAATATCTGGAGAATATTTCCTAATATAGAAATATCACATCCATCACTAATAACCACATATGAAAATAGAGTTACCTAAATATTGCTTAACCCAGGTCTAAATTGTGTCTTCCAATCACAGTCACACTTCTTTCCTCTTCTTCCTTTCCCTGAGCAAAACTTCTTGGACAGAAAAGACATTCATCAGACTCAGCATAAAATGAAAATCTCTCAGTCCTTTAGTTCCACCTTTATCAGTACTACATTGGAGATAACACAGCTGTGATTCTTTTCTTTCTCTTTCCTTCCACTCAATACAGAAAACCTCATCTCTTGCCAAATTAATTCTACCACCTTATCACCAAATTAAATATTAACAAACGACCATCAAAGACAAAAGTTATGTTGTGTGAGCCTTAATTGGATGAGAACCTCATCTTGCTGCTTGCGGGGAATCAATTGTCAGGAAACAGAATTTATAGACTGACCTGATTTCTAAGACTTGTTTAAAACAAAAAGAACCTCAAGAACTTCATATGACCATTTTTCTCTTTGCAGGGCAGTACATATTTCGGCTGTGAAACAACGTCTGAATCAATGTGCTATCTTTCTGTGCACTAACTCAACTGATTTTGTGATAAATTAATTTGTCAGAAATCCACAACTGCAGGTTAGAGATAGAAATAAAGTCACATGAAAAACCAATTGGGGCTATTTTGGATCTGTTAGCCTTATGATAGGATGTTTTAATTTATGCATCATAGAAATCTCTTTACACCACTGCCTGTAATTGCAGCATCTCACAATGCTTGCCTGTGCTCTGGTTTCACTTTATTCTGGAAAAGCTGGTACAAAGTCACTTTATGTAACTGATGACTTGCTGGGCCAAACTAATTTTAAGACATATTATCTAATTATTTTTTAATCTCATGATATCATTATTATCACAATAATAAAAATAACAATAAAAAGAGCAAAAATACTACAAATAAAAAGACTTAGTGAGTTTCCCACCATCAAATGGAATACTTAATTTTCCCTATACAAATTTCCACTTTTATCTAATTCTCTATGTGAATATAAAATTGCACATTACAAAAAAACCCTTTCTCCTAATTCATTCTTCACTCCAATGCCATCATTGCTATAGAACACCCATTTAATTGCCTATCTAAATCTATTTTTTTTCCTTCTTTGCCAAGTAAGTCTCAGTTTTCTTCAGAACAACAATGTGCTTAGTCCCAGGTAGCTAATAATAGTCAATGTAAGCCAAACTTAATAATACTATGCGTCACTTCTAGCCAGAGGTCACCTACTTTCGGTAATTAGACTTGGGAAGGAGCCTTTGCAGGGATGTTTGGGAAACTTTTACTCCTCTGAGGAGAAAAAGAGACGAGGGTAGCCGGCATCACCCTGTCACCCTTTTGCTACTTTGAATTCAGGCTTGATATCTGGAACTGCAACAACTATCTCGAGATTAAAAAAGCAAGTCAGAGTATAAATGGCAACATGCTAAAGATACCACAGAAAGACAGCTCCTAGACACATACAGGGGAATGACACACACTGGGACCTCTCAGAGGGTGGAGGCTGGGAGGAGGGAGAGGATCAGGAAAAATAACTAATGGGTACTAGGCTTAATACCTGTGTGATACAATAATCTGTACAACAAACCCCCATGACACATGTTTATTTAACAAACCTACACATGTACCCCTAAATTTAAAATAAAAGTTAAAAAAATACTAAGTTCCTTGTGAAATCCAGCAAAATGCCTACTTTCAGACTTAGTATTTGAGAAAAATCAATCCCCATTTGATGACGACACTGAAGCCTGTAACTTACCACTGAATGCTTTTCTACGTGATACAGTGGTTTTTTTAGTAGCTCAGGACTTCTAAAAAAGGAAGTCTCACCTTGTTTCTTGTGTTTCTCTTTAAATCTACTTTCCACTTAGCTCTCAAATAGCCACTCAAACTGCTCATGATTCTCTGAATTCTCTCTGTGGTTCACTGCAGGATTTTGTAAATGGTTCTACCTCCATCACTGAAGTATTTTGCCATCTTTATTTTTCTTCATCAAAAGTTATGTTAGTACAGGTGTATTTCATGACTCAGTAAGCCTACTCTTAGTAATGTTTCAATAAGAAATGCATATATGTTTATATTACACATATGTATATGTGGATATTGTATATAAACTTATATATAAACACATATGTGTATGTGTATATATGTGTATGTGTATACACACAGATATATACACACACACATATACATACATATATACACATACATACACATGTACATATATATTTTTTTACCAAAAAGACAGAGATTGAGCATATAAAACACTATTCATAAAAATCCCAAACTGAAAACAACTCAAATGGACACCAGTGGTAAAAAGGATAATGTGTGGTATGTTTATGGCACTGTAAGTGAACAAACTGCAACTACAGCCACATGCAACAATATGGATAGATCTCACAAAGGTAACACTAAGCAAAGCACCTAGGCTCAAAAGAAGATGTACTGTATTATTTCACTGATTCAAGTTTTAAAACAGGCACCTAATCAATAGTGTCAGAGTAAGATAATTGTTGCCCTTGGGGAAGGCAGTGACTGGAAGGAGGAACGAGTAGAGCTACTAGGATGCTGGGAATGTTCTGTTTTCTAATCTATGTCATAGTCACATGGTTGTGTTCCCTTTGTGAAATTACACCACGCTGTATATCTAAGATTTGCTCATTCCTCTGTATGTGATATTTAAAGAAATTATTTTCCAAAGCAAAAAAAAGTTTAATCACATCAAAGAATTATCATTAACATCATTAACATAAACGCATTTCTTCTACAACCCTTCCTTTGATTCCTTCTTTTCAATTTAACCTTTTTCTCTCTTACTCTTCCATAGAATTTTGTCTACACTTACCGTGTAACAGATATCCCAAGCTCTTTTGTATTACAATGTCTGAATATGTAAACACCTCTTGTCCCCATAAGACTATGATCTCTCTGATGGCAAGGATCTCATCTGTGCTATGTCACACTGCAATGCACCAGATAGATTAGTAATCATCTTTGAAGGGAGTTTTACTTCAAAACAGCTTTCTATAAAACATACTTACCAAAAGTCAGCTGTTGGTGTGTGCTTTTGTGTTTTTCAGTTTTCATAATCTAATATCATGAAGTTTTGCAATTCTGAAGGCAGCTGTAGTGTAGAAGGCACATTGGATGAAAAACGTAATGAATTTATTTGCAAGCCTTCACTCAACACTACCTTTAGCTGTGGAAACTAATACAGGCAACTTTACCTATTAGATCTGCAATATCTTCATCTGAATTACGGGGATAATCATGTCTGCCTCACAAAATCGATATGTATCTCAAGAGACTTAATGTATCTAATGTTACGTAAACTCTGAAACTGCATATAAACTACAAGCATTGTTCTCCATTGTCTTCCAGTAGTATTTCCTAGCCTTTTTCATGTCATGTCACACCTAGAAAATTATAGTTATTGTACAATACACTAGAGTAAAATAACAAGGCTTCTTAGAGCTGGAGGACAGGTAATTATGCACACTGGCTAGAAAGCGCCAGAAAACCATGAATTTACTAAAATTAAAACTTCTTGCTCAGATAGGATCAAGGTATTGTGTCTCTCCTTCAAGCAACGTCCACTAAGTTGAGCTCAAACACAATGGTAGATCTACAAGATAGATTGCTCCAATCACCATTGGGATCAAAACAGGAGTGTCATTCATCATATAAGAGTATTCATACTACAGACTTAAATCTCCAAAACTGAATTTGGAATGCTTATTTAGGTTTGCATGGACTTTTTGGTGGCATCACAGGAAAAAAAGACTTTATAAAGGATGCCCTGTTTATATCTTACATATCTAATGAGAATAAATTTGCAAACACCTGATCAATATTTAAGAAGAAATGAAATACTTATTTTGTACATTTTCTTAATCGCTTTTTCCAGCACAAAGATTCTTATCATTAGTTAATATATAATTGTAATCTGATTCATTCATTTTTCTAACAAATTAGTTTCCAATTCTTTCCTATTTCCTCCACCCTTATAGAGAAAGAAAAAGTATATAAAAATGACATACACACACACACATATACACAGGTAGATATTGATGTTTTTCCTCTTAAATTACTGAGATATTAGTAGTCAGATGGAGAGAGTAGAGAAGAAGAAACTACTACACATTGCAGAAAGTTTGCTGAAATAGTCTCATTTCTTCAGCATTTCCCAAAGCATGGTATACAAAATTATATTAGTTGACACCCAGATGAAACTGTTAAAAAGAAGTATGGTTATATTAAAGTAATTATTTTTACAGTAGAAAAAAACAGCATGTTAAACTTATGATTTTACAGATACTATTACTAGGACAAAGCTTAATTGATTTTTAGATATGTTGATTTAAAGAAAAAGGAGCACATCGATATAACAAAATTATTCAAGAGGTGCATGAATTTCTAGAGTTTCAGGCTACTGTGTTAGTTGATATTTGCTCCTCACATGTCATTAGGTGTCAGAAAGGCCTCCTTAATGGTGCTTTCCGCTGGGTCAGTTCCAAAATTTTTCCAATTTATACACAGGATGGTAGAGATAAGAAGTGATGACGTAAGAGGTAAGAAGTGATGATGTAAGAGGTAAGAAGTGATGATGTAAGAGGTAAGAAGTGATGACGTAAGAGGTAAGAAGTGATGACATAAGAGGTAAGAAGTGATGACGTAAGAGGTAAGAAGTGATGACATAAGAGGTAAGAAGTGATGATGTAAGAGGTAAGAAGTGATGATGCCTCCCAAGTAGCTGGGACCACAGACATGTACCACCATGGCTGGCTAATTTTTGAAATTTTTTTTAGAGACAGGGTTTCACCATGTTGACTAGGCTCATCTTGAACTCCTGGGCTCAAGCAATCCACCCTTCTTTTTAGGAAAACTTAGAAATAGTCATCTCAATGTGTAATCATGGGAATTACAAATTTAAGAGACAAATGGAAATATAAAGAGTTCCAGCAGGCCTTGGCCAATGACAGCAGGAGTCCTGGGTCTTAGTCTAGGTGCTGAGACTATGTTCCTTTAGCAGATTTCTTCCTTGAACCTCAGCTTGCTCATCTGTGAAAGGACTAAATTATCTCTAAAGTTCCTCTCTGCAACATCAATCTGTGAGTCTATGTATAAAACATTAACTCTGCATTAGGAGCACAGTTAGCTGTTAAGTATGTCAAATGGACTTCTTCTTAACTAAGTGGCCCATAAATTAAATTGTTGCTTCTTCCATCCAATGTATCCACTTATCCAAGTCCATGTGCTAAGGGTTTTATTAATTTATAGCTAATTTTACTACTCCAAGGGAGACATAAGAAGGCCTCAGAGAATGTATTAGTCAGGCCTTGCACTTCCATAAAGAAATACCTAAACCTGGGTACTTTATAAAGAAAAGTGGTTTAATTGGCTCACAGTTCTGCAGACTGTACAGGAAGCACGATGCTGGCATCTGCTCAATTTCTGGGGAGGCCTCAGGAAACTTACAATCATGGCAGAAGGTGAAGGGGGAGCAAGTAATTCACATGGCCAGAGCAGGAGGAAGAGAGAGAAAAGAGGGAGGTGCCACACACTTTTAAATAATCAGATCTCAGGAGAAGTCACTATTGCAAGGACAGTACCACGGGGGATGGTGTCAAATCAGGAAAAACCGCCCCCATGATCCAATCACCTCCCACCAGGCCCCACCTCCAGCACTGGGAATTACATTTTAACAGGAGATTTGGATGGGGACACAGATCCAAACCCTATCAGAGGATGACTTTTTTCTGTTGTTTAGAAGAGAACTAGCTATACAACAAGGACACTGTTCTGACTCCTTGGATCAGAAGAGAATGACAGAACAGCATGTACCTAGAGATTTATCTAAACACTTCAGAAATCAAACGGCAAGTTTCACGTTTCCAGACACCTTCTGAAATATTTTCTACCATTTAGCATAACCAAGCATTTCTTGCATCTCTGTCTTACTCTGTAGCTTCCCCTCCAACCTCCATTAGAGCTCAGAAAATTCACTAGCTCTTCCTCTCATAACATCTTAGGTTTGACACAGAATGTGGCAGCTAGAAGACACTTCATAGGTCATTTATCTCTGCTTCATATCAGATGTTTAAATCCCTCTGCAATATCCCTACAGACATCCAGCATCTGTTTGTACAATAACAGTAACTGCAAAGTTGATAAGCAGCCGAAATATCCATTGTGTTGTCTACAATAGTACTTCCTGTTGGCACACAGCTGCTTTTCAAACTAAATCTTGCAAACCTACTTCTACTTCCTCGAAATCATCAGACCATAATATCTTATTTCAATCTCTCTTGTTTAGGTTAAATATTTTTAGTCTTTACCTGTTCCTTTTGAGTCATGATTCCAAATCCTACTAATATCCTGGTCACAATTCCCTAGATGCATTCTAGTATGATAATATTCCTTGAAAATCATGATTCCCAAGACCAAATATAATCTCCTCCTTCCCACCTGCAAATGTTTTGTGATCTGCATGGAATACAAAGGCAGAACCTACTGTATCATGCATTCTATTTCTTCTCTCATTTGTGATTTATTTAATATGTGGAACACAGATTGAAACAGAGGGTGTAGTACAGAGAAACACTAGGGAAACTCAAGGTCTTATCTACATATTTGAAAGTGCTGTGGGAAGAATTGGAGGGTCTATGCATATATATATATATATTTTTTTGAGACAGAGACTTGCTCTGTCATGCAGGCTAGAGTGCAGTGGCACGATCTCAGCTCACTGCAACCTCTGCCTCCCAGGTTCAAGCAATTCTCCTGCCTCAGCCTCTCGAGTAACTGAGATTACAGGTGCCTGCCACTGCACCCGGCTAATTTTTGTATTTTTAGTAGAGACAAGGTTTCGCCATCTTGGCCAGGCTGGTCTCGAACTCCTGACCTCGTGATCCACTAGCCTCAGCCTCCCAAAGTGCTGGGATTACAGGCGTGAGCCACTGCACCCGGCCACTGATACATTTTCTACAGTCTTATTAACCATAATCTAAAAATCATCCTAATCTCTGAAGAAACCTAATAACAAAGCTATACTGAACAAAATTATACAACATATACATTTATATCTATGTATGCTTATATATATGTATGTGAATATATAAAGTGTTCATACATAAACATTTAAATCAGTCTTACTTTGCATCACAAGCAGTAGAATATGAATGTTTTTTCCCAAGATACTTATATCATGCTGTATATAATTGTTTTTATAAAAGCTGTTTTCCACAATTCATGAAAATTATATATATAAACCTACCTATACATGTGTGTAAGTCTTTATCAATCATAAAGTGTTTTAGACCTACTTGATCTTTACAAAACTCCAGGATGCTGTAAAATTAAGGAAAGAATTAGCACACTCATTTTCAAGTAACACACGAAGTTTGTCAAAATTCACATAGTTTTTAAATTACAGAGATAAAATTGTAACCCAGACCTTTGTATTCCAAATCCAATAGCCCTCACCTTTTTGAGACAGGGTCTTGCTCTGTTGCCCAGGCTTAAGTGCAGTGGCATAATTATGGCTCACTACAGCCTTGACCTCTCAAACTCAAGTGATCCTCCCAACTCAGCCTCAAGTAGTTGGGACCATAAGCATGGGCCACCACCCCCAACTAATTTATATCTATATATTTTTAGAGAGAGGGTTTCCCCACGTTGGCCAGGCTCATCTCGAACTCCTGGGCTCAAGCAGTCCACCCATTCCGGCCTCCCAAATTGCTGGGATTACAGGCATGAGCTACCGTGCCCAGCCTAATCCTCACTTTTAAAAATAGGAAACCATTTGCTAAAATCCATGATTAAAGTTTTTCTAATCACAAATAGAGCTAGACTCTTATGTAAATACTCCCCAAAGAAACCACATGGACTCCAAAAACCATTAGCAGCCTCTAGTCACAAATGCTATTATCATTCTTACTAGGCGAAATTCAAAACCAAGAAAAGCCAAAGCAAGATGAAACATTTATAAAAAGTCTAACTTTCCACCCCAAGCTAATGGATTCTTGCCACCACTGCAACATCTTACATTGCTTAAAACAAATGTTCCCAAATCTAGTTCTACAGTATAATCTTGGGAGGAGCTTTTCTAAAATATAACTACAGAACCTTTCTGGTACAGAGGAGGTCTGGT